AATACATATTTCATGCTTCTATGGATCATACCTTTCTGTTGCGTAACACATCACCGCTCACTGCATGTTTTCCAGTAACACGTTCAGTTTGAATATTTGAAAGCCCAGCTGGGGGTCTTCCACTGCAAAGACAGATTTCATTGTTACTTCTCTGAGATAGAATTCAAATTGCAAGCAAATCATGATAAAATGGATCAAGTGATATGAACCAGACTATAATCTAACCTCTGAGAGGAGGATGGCTGATACAAAATTGCATGAAGACAAAATTCCAGAAATATCTCGCAGTCTTTAGAACCAACTAATTGCTTATACTTTTCCAGCACTTCATTTCTAACTTGAGATGCATGGCACTCACCAATTACCTAAACCCAAGGGAGTTAGAGGTGTCAGTCCCTCCAACAACTTAAGAGGTGCCAACAAAACTTTATGTGGCTGGCTGTAAACAGGTATAATGTTCCCCAAGGGCTCTTTTATGAAGCTTTTGACAAAAGACTCTTTCTAGACACAACCAGCTTGCAAAAATTTTAGGTTATATTTCCAATTCCATAAATGGACTCAAAAATTATACAAGGATCACCATCATTCCCTTATTATAAGCTACATAATATATGAAATAATTACAAAATAGCAGGCATGTATTAACTACCAGAATTCATGTCTATCCCCCTAACCTCTTTTACACAAAATAGTATTCAGCTAAAAGAACCCAAGTTTACATGAAGACGCGTAGAAGTAGGACAAAGGGAACAAGAATAGATGAAACGAAAGCAGTAACCCAAATGCAAAGGGAAAAACTAAAATGAATTGCTTAACTAGTACATGTGAAATTCTGGTTTAGAAAATCAATGGAAATGGAAAGCTCTATTATCTTGAAGAGCAAACAACACTTAAGTGTCGTCAAGCTCTTAGCTGTCTGGTAGTTTGATCCACGATAATCACATGCACTTTGTAACCTATATATTCAAAGTGCAAGCTTGGGGAAATACTGCTTGGTGCAGCTGTTCATACCACAAAGAGAAGACAAGAAAGTTTGTTATTTTACCCTGAAGTCCATAATTTATCATAATTGCTCATTAAATCCAATATTTTGTTGATAAATTTGAATATCTTTGTTTATTTATTTTGTCCCATTATTCTATATTTTAATGTCTTCAAATAGTACCTTTAGTGACTATCAAGCACGTGGAAATCCGTTTAATCCTAGAATTATAGAAATGATATACACTTGTGGTGCTCCTAGATTGATATGTCTGCTGAAGACGGCCACAAGAGCAGATTCTACACTGAGACCTCATTGACTTCTTCCACATTTAAATCTAAACAAAACTCAACAGAAGTATTTTTTATTTCGTGTTGAATTTCTTATAAAATTTGGAGTTTAATAGATAATCTGATGCTTCTCGTGGCATAACTATACTTCTTGACAACTATATTGGTAATTATACAAGTAGATCAATGGCCAGAAAGTGATAGCCAGCAGAATCATTGCAGATGTAAAAAGGTTTTCAAGAATCAGACTCACAGGAACCTCACAAGAATATATCAAAATAAAATTGTAAAGGTTACCTTTAATACAATTCTGAGTAATATATCTTGATGTTGAGGAGGGATCTTCGAAATGTTGGCTAGAAAGACGGGAGCTAATACTTGTTTCTCCTGCAGTATCATCCCAATGCCAAGTGAAAGGTGTTTACTTACAAAGGTGAACTATTAATTAAGAAAATAGAAAATTGCAAAGTTAGACCTGTAGAAGTAGGCAGTTGAAAAATAGGTCCAATTATTTTATTCGCAAAATTAAACCCAAGTTTTGGTTTCATGCAAATAAGGTCCAGCCGTTAGTATAACCATTAGTCACAAAGGGACCTTGTTTGCACCTTTTGGATCAGTTTCTCGTAAACGGACCTGCTTTTGTAACTCAATCAATTGCATAGGACCAATTTTGAACTGTCCCACTAAAATTATTTCGAGTCTTAACAATCATTCCATCAGCTTATGATGTTAGAATCTTATGTTTTCACTAATTAGCAGGCCTCTTATCAACAAAGTGTTGATGCCATGTCATAGTTGATTTGCTTAAAATTTATATGTTGTACTCAAAATTGGCACCAAAAGATTGGCAGTCGCAGATTTGGTCCCACAACGTCCACCACTCCACCTGTAATTTCATTGTTAATTTTTTGAACAGTGTAGGGCCGCATTTGCAACAACTAGAGGTATTTTTCTTAAAACAATTATTACGGCCAAATAGACATTTTATGGGACTACCTTTGCAACTCGGTTAATCCTATAGGACCAATGTTGCAACTTTCTCACTAACAAATATATACCTCTTCATGCACTCGATCAATCGCCATCTCAATGTATACGATGCAGAAGTTCCTAACCATAGGAGCAGAACCAGATTCTATGTACAATTGCCATAGGTCAGATAAAGGCAGACCAATTGCTTGTTGGTGTTTCACTCTCTTGTTCACATGACTCAGGATTTCAATAACCTAAACAGGGAAGTAAAATTCAAATCTTAGGAAAGAGCATCTAACAAGCCAAGAAATATGACGAGATATATCATATAAGCATGGAAGTAAGATCCAAATCTTAGGAAAGAGCATCTAACGGGCCATATGAATAACATTTGATATTTGATTAGACTTTAAAAAAATAACAGAGATGAAAAGGGGCTCAATTGAACCATGTGCAGCATGCTAACAGTTTGACTTATCAACAGTAACTTCACACGATCAATCCAAACAAAATACTTAAAAAAAATAGCAGCAAGTTCGATTGCTATGCCGTAATACATCCAAAATTGAACTTGCGAGAAAAATGGTGGTGCTAGAATGACCCAAAACACATAAGAAAATCAAGCATAACGGCTCAAAATAGGCTGCAAAAATTACTTTATTTCGTAGAGAGGTGGAGGCAGCCGCGAGGGCGGCAATGGAGAGAGGGAGAATCCTTGCGAGCAAGTCCTGAAGCTTGGAGTCGTCGCATAGTGCCAATCGGGTCAACATTCTGTCCAGAAGCTCCTCTTTCTCTTCATCGGACTTTCCATCTAGCGCCGACGACCAGGAGCGGGCGACGGAGGTGGAGGACCCAGCCATGGTTCTTTGCTTCGCGGTGGCCGACTGTGTTCAGCTAGTGTTTCTCCTGCTATGATTTTTTTTTTTTTTCGGTTGTTCTTTTCTTGAGAAAGAAGTAGATGTAAACAAATTGTATTCATTTCGGTTCAATTTGGATTTCAAGTGTTTAACGATATGTTCAGACTTTTTAAGATTTAAAATAAGATTAAGATTTTTAGAGTTGGAAGAATAATGTGGTCTTATTAAGTTTGATTTTGAGATAAGATTTGAGGTGAGAGTTTGTATAAGGTTTTTCACTTTTGTCTTTATAAATCCCATCAAATTTTAAAAAGTCCGTAATAAATTCTAATCTCAAATAAGTTAAATACTTCATGATTTTGTAAGACTTTTTAAATACTACATGATTTTTAAAAGTTTTAACAAATTTAAACTGAATACACTTAACAAGTCATTAGAAATCTCAACTGAATACACCCACTTAATTTAGACTTTTCGACTTTTAAAAATCTCGAGTTATTCATTCATTTGAGATTTTAAACATTACAAAATCATTAAGTATTTAACTTATTTGAGAGTAAGAGCGTACTTGGATACAAAAGTTCTCGCTAAAATTAATTTATTTGGTTAACCAGAGTTAATTTGAAAACAAAATAGTATGGTTAATTGTTGGTGGGATTTTAAATATATATATATATTAAAATAATATTTAAAAAGTAAGTTGATTTGATGTAAAAGTATGAGAGATTTGATGTGAAGTGATTAGTTAAAATTATGTGAATTTATGAATATTGATTGAGTAGATGTGATTGTAAGAATGATTGACTGGTATTTTATTTAATTATATTGATAATATTGAAAATAGTAGAGTTTAATTAAAGTTGTGTTAGATTTTGAGTTTGATTGAGTATGGAATGAAAGTTTATATGATCAAGGATGCCTTAAGGGGGTATATTCGTTTTAGATTTCGAATGACAGTTTTAGACTTTTTGAGATTTGAGACATTTTAAGATTTCATATTTACGAGGAATCTGTAAAATCTTAAGTCCGGAGATGAGATTTTGTATACGTTTTTTTCTTTAGAAATCCACGCAAAACAGGTCTTAACAAATCATAGTCTCAAATATGTTAAATACCTTAGGATTTTGTAAGGGGTGCTTTCTTTTGGGATTTTAAGCGATATTTTCAAACTTTTTAAAATGTGAGACTTTTTAGGATTTTTAAATTTATGAGGAATTCTATGATATCTTAAGTCTAGAGGTATGATTTGAAGTGGATTCCATATATGACTTTTCTTTTGAAATCGCTGCCTTACATAGAACCATCCAGGCAGGCCCTTGGCCTTGAGCAAGCTCCTCGTCGTTGCTACCATCGTGCCATTTCAGCGTTCAGCGACACTGTTTTGCTGCGGGCTATAGCACGCCCTCAGGTGCACAGTAGCCCACAAACTCGGTCGTGGTGAACTCGTCCCCGCGATCAGTGCGGAGCGCCTTCTGTTTGGCATCACACTCGTCTGTCGCCACACTTGAACCTCCTTGATGGCTTCCGCAGCACTATCCGTTGATGGAATCGCGGCTACCCACATGTATCTGCTGAAGTCATCCACCATCAGCAGAAAGTACTTGTTTCCTCTAGGTGTCATTGGCATAATGGGGTCGCACAAGTCACCATGCACCAGCTCGAGACGCTGTTGTGCACAGTACTATTCTTGCATCTGGAACAAAGTCCGCTTCTTCTTCTCGGCTTGGCACGCGTCGCACAGCTGGTCGACCTGCCCAATCATAGGAAGGCCATGCATTAGCTCCGTCTGAGCCAGCTTCTTGGGTGTTGCCATATTGACTTGGACGAAGCGCTTATGCCAGTGCCACGCCATCTCGTTGTTGTAGCAAATTATTTTATTACCGAGTATCAAATCGAATGATCCGTTCCCCGGGTTGATCTCTCGAGGAGGGCGGTTCGGAATCTAGAATTGGTATCGATCACACACGAAAACAAAATAAGTCCTAAACAATCTAATCACAATTAGGGTTTGAACTATCAACTAGGAAATAACATAAAATGCATAAAACATAAATTAACTCAAAATCATGAAACAAACAATGATAAAGAAGCTAGGGAATCGGAGATTTTTGTTTCGGTTTGAATTGCAGTTAACGGGCAAGTGATTGTTCGGTTAAATGATTCGAATAACCTACTCGTTCAGAGATTAATCTTTAATAACTTTTCGTAACAAGAGAACAAACGCGAACGGCAAATTAACGATTCGTTTAACACCTAGGCAATACAGTTACGAACAATCCTAGTTTATACGAGCTTAGATCGATCGGCTCCTCCCTTTTTGGTTCTAAGAGCCGATTAAATTATCCTAGAAGATGGTTAATCAACTACTCCATTTAGAATTAACAACATCACGCGAGAACGAATCAAATTCAATTGAAAATCAATTGAAGATTGAAATGTCACCCTTCAACAATTCTTAACATTCAAGCATAATCATCGAAAACCCTATTTAAGAATAACACGTATGAATTAAACAATCAACGAACACAATAATCACAAACGAAACCAAAACATCATCCCATATCCCTAGCAATTGGGTTTAGCCACTCACTTTCAATTCAACACCATCAACCACAACAATCAAAGCAATCATATTCATGGATTAAATGAATAGAAAACTTACGATTAAAACGGAATTAAGAATTGAATCTGAAATACATGATTAATCCAAAAGTAATGAAGAAATCTAAGTGAAAAACAACATCAAGATAGTATTCTTGAGGTAAGAGAAAGGGAAAAACAGGTTTTTGGGGGATTTTTTTAGGTCTGGGAACGAGTCCCAATGCAAAGTACTCGAAAAAACGAACAAAATCTAGCTTTTACAAATCTGGTCGCGACCTCCGCGGCCGCGGGAAGCTCCGAGGCCGTGAGAGTTCAGCTGCAGAAGGGCTCCGCGGCCGTGGGAATCCTCCGCTGCCCGCGGTGAAGAAAACTGGGCTGCTGCGTGCAACTTTACGTTTCGGGCTCATTTGAGCTCATTCGAACTCAAAATTGAGTTCCGTTTCCTCCTACGCGTCGCTAACGAACCAATATATCCAATTATGCTCTCGAACCCAATTTTTACTAAAGAGAAAATTTGCCCGAAGCTCCCGACCTACACATCAAAAATAACAAAACACGAAGAAAACTGGAAAAACAAACGAAAAAACACCTAAAGACTCAAAATGAAGGAAAACACATAATAAAACACGAAACGAACTAAAAAAGAAAGAAACAACCTACAACGGGAGAAAAAAAAAACAAAACAAGCATGAAAAATGTAACAAAAATGGGACAAACACTCGTCGTTGCGCCAGCACACCACCAAGCACGATGGACGCGCCACCTTAATACAGAGCTCGTATTGGCAGTTGGTTGCCCGCATCACCTTCGCCAACAGCTATCCACGGGGCTCCCCAATCTTTAACACCCTGTCATTGATGTTGACCTTGTAGCTACTCTCGTCTAGCTGTCCGAGGTTGATTATGTTCGTCGTCGATCAAGAAATGAAGTAGATATTGAAGAACAACTAGAGCTTGTTGTTTTTGCACGTGAACATGACGGTGCCCCAGCCCTCGATCCACACCATTGAGTCATCACTGAACCGCATAGTGATGAGCACTGTCGTGTCTAGCTTTGAGAATGCGGCCGCATATCCAAACATGTGGTTGGTGGCGCCAATGTCTGGTACCTAGATCTCAGCCTCCCGCTTCTTTTCCTTGTAGAGGTGGGCAAACACTTTCGCCTCGCGAATCTTGATTGGGGCGCTCAATCCCATCGGCGTCTCTCCAGACCCGCAACTGCCCTAGAGTATTAACGAGGTGAGCACCTACACCTTGGTCGGCAATGCACCCTTGGAGGTTGGTGGCGGAGATGAGGGCAGAGAGGGGAGGACTTCACGAGCATGACCGACACCTCATCCTCATTCTCTGCCACATGGGCCTGTATCTTCTTTGGCTTCATCTAAAAATACACGGGCCCAATTGCCCTTCTTCCTACAATGTCTGCATTCGTCACTGCACGGGCCGGTGTGAATTTGACGATCCATCAGACAACGAACCTCCTCGACTACGCCTGCCTCCTCCGTTTGCACTGCCACTGGAATGGTTCTCCACCTCGCGCTTCTTTCAACACACGTCCCATTCCTCCTCCGCAAGGTACAATTTTCCCTTGTGCTGCAGCGACGTCAGAGCTTATTCATACCCTTCCTCTGTTGGGTTCTATTAGGAACGTCGGCTATGTGCACATTCAAATCTATTGAAAAATAAATCTTAACGCAACAGAATCTATAGTTAGGATTAGGACTTACGGTTTAAAATTTTTGCTGACTCTGAGACGTTTTTGATTTCATCTGTAGGAGATCATCTGAATCGCAGAGTTCGTTAGGCAGCTGGACTTGGCTTCATTAATGCATTTTCGGTTGCTCGTCGGTTTGTCTCGGACCTTCGCTAAATTAAACGGACTCCTCGGACCGCTCGAGAACCGCCTTGGGCACGAATCGAGGCTTCTGGACCGAGTTCAACCGGTTTGGTGCGAGCTGGACCGAACTGGAGCTGCCTGGGCTTGCTGGACTGCATCTGGGCCACTTTCCAAGTTGCTCGGCCGCGCTAGTGCTGTTGGGCCACGGAGACTCGCGCACATGGGCCGAGAAGACGCGATGTGAAGGTTGGGCCACGCTGGGCTTCACGCGGGCTAGAATCAGACCTACACGTGGGCTGGGATGCAGGTCGCGCAGGCTGAAGACTGAGAGGAAGATCGGGCCGCGCGGGCTGAGATGCGAGCCGCACAACCCGCGCGCTTCTCTTTCTCACTGGTGGGCTCGCGCGAGGTTGGGCTGCGCCTACTGGGCTGAAGACTGCTGCTGGGCTTCTTCAGGGACGGGCCGCACACTGCTTGAATCCTCATCTGCTTGGGCTGATGGTTGGATCTCGCGAAGTGGACTGGGCCGCGTGTGCTGGACTACGTGGCCGCGGACAACATGCAAGAATTGGACCTGGGGTGCTGGGAAAATTCCGGCGAGTTGCCGGTGGTCGCTGGAGTCTATAGTCTTCTAGAAGACTCTATAGTCTTCTAACCCTAGGTAATATTCTAGAAAGAATATTCCTCTCTTTAGGAAATTTTAATTATGGAATATAATTAATTTCTAATTCTTAAATAGAATTAAATAATAAAACATTCCACTAGAGTAATATTATTGCTCTCCCCATTTAGCTCCAATTTATTCAATAAATTCGAACCTCCACCTGATTAATAAATATTAATCTTATTGATCGATTTATCTCTTTATGTTTAAGATATAACATTCGTTGATTAATTAAATTACTGACAAATTAATTAATCAACTTTTTATTCATTCCGAAACTAGTACCACTCATATCCTTAATCAGTATGCCGAATACACATCCGCCTGCAGGGCTTGACATAATATTTCTTCATGAGCTCATTTCGGGGACGTCAACAACCCAGCGCACTGGGACATAGTGACCGTAAATAATTTATAACAGTGCATCATATAAACATCATCATTTACCAAAATACCGAGTATGTCATCCTAGAAAAATAGGAATCACCCATAGTAAATCAAATAAATAAGTAATGAATATATATGACCATTTTATATTATTTTACAGCTTAAGAGTACGCATCAATTACTGAAGGTCTAGATTATAACTACGATCAGTAAATCTTATAATCTTATCCTTTCGCGGTAATGTTTAATACTTAACATAAGTACTAGTGCAATCCTTCAGTCAAAGATCAACTGAATCAAGACTACACTACAGTCTTTTTCCAACAGGAGTCTCACTGCCTGTCTGGACTGTGAACAATTAGTTTATATTTTACAAGAAACCGATAGTATGATCTTTCTGTTCAATGCGACGAACCATACTATCTATAATGTAAAATAAAGAAATTATGATTGCATAAATAAATAAACTGCAACATAAATACTTTGACTAAAACATGATTGCCAGATCAAAATGGAATTGTAAATATCTGAAAGCCAAGCTTTTACAGCATATCCTAAAATCCGCCCTCACCTTCAGTCGCCCCTTAGTTTGGTGATCGTCATGTTCGACAAGTCAAATAGTGTCTTGATCGTAATTGAGATCTTCTTGAACGGAGGTGGCATGGTGCGAAGTATTTTCGCAACGATCTCGCTCTCAGTCAATTCTGCGCCAGTGTGGCGAGGTGTGCCGCCATGCCGTTCAGGCACAACGCATATTCCTCGACAATTTTTTTGTCTTCAAAAGCTTCAAGGTCAAATATTCAACATAGCTGCTGCACTGTCGACCTCCTGACGCGGTCTTCCCTAACCTTCATGGTCGCGATCACGTCCCAGCTTCCCAGGCCTCCATTGTCATCTATTTTTGGCAACCGTTGGCACCATCTTTGGTGGCACCGCGTGACATTATGAAATTTTATATAGGAATTGAATAAGAGTAAATTGATGAAAACATATGAGATGACTTATAAAAGAGAATTATAATGCACAAAATAAAATACGAACATGTAAAAGTAAAATCCTAATTTAACGAGCGAGCATCAAGATAGATTGACAAAGTATAATAAAGCAAAAGGTAAAGTCCTTATCTAGTCCTAATCTAAAGAGCGACTATCAAGATATATTGAATAAACAATTGTAAATCAAAGGCAAATGAAGAGCCCACCTTCCTCATTTTTCCTTTTCAACACATGTACAATAAAGATAGATTGAATAAAGCATTATAAAATAAAGATAGAAATAAAGAAATATAAATGAAAGGCAAAAGAATGACCCCACTTTTCTTATTTTTTTCCTTTTTAACACAAGCCCTAGCCTTCAGTTTGACCTTCATCAGAAAGCCAAGTCAGAGTAATTGGTCTTGGTAAGAATGGGATAGCTATTCCCACCACTCACCTCACGGATCACTTACTGGATCACAACGCCGTCCTTTGAAAAGCCTTTGGTGTTCTTCTTCCCACTCATGATCCCAGGTACGAGTAGCTCTGGTACCATTTATTAGAAACTCACCAGAGAGACAACACTCAGTTGTCGGCGAGATCACGACCAAAACACAAGGCACAAAAGAAGACTCATGCGAACACAAAAGAACACAATCTGGTTCGGTGTTGTATAATTGATAACTTTCCTTGTGCTATTCTATTAGTTAAATCGAGGAATACATGGAGCTAAATAATGCCTACAAATCAAGATTACAAGAAAACTATAATCATGTCAATATTCACAACTAAAGAACCTAAGGAAAACAAATAAAAAATTTACTTGCACAAGGAATATATCCTCAAATAAAATATTTCCTACATTACTAGGATATATATGTGCAATACACAGCTCCCTGTGGGCCCACATCACTGATCTTGATTTTTTCAAGCAGGACCATTTGTGGACAACAAGATTCTCAAACGTTAATGTCCAAACTCTTCTACTACAAAGAACCAGATTTTAACGTTGAGGATGGAATTATTTGTATGTTGCCGTTGGTATCATTGGAAGGGAAACGTTAAAAATATGAAGGAGACAGTTGAAGAGTTGAAGAAAATTGCATTGTTTGGGTTACATATTGGGAAACACTGTTGGTGAACTTCGGACATAAGGTTGGTGAATTCATTTCCTCATTTGCTAGCTGAAACATATGTATTCATGCAAAATAAAAGGGTGCTCGAGATTGATTTTTTTTTTTTTTTTTNTTTTCTCTTAGTTGGATATATCCTGGACCATACGATGCTCAGACTCAAATTAATAAGTTAACATGTATATAAGTTTTGATATTGTGAAGTTATTTTGTCACGCATATAGTAATGGATTGACATGATGATATCTTAAAGCTCAACGTGCATGTGTTAGACCATAAGTCTCTGAGCTGATAGCTATAACAAACGCTCTTGCATTTCTCCTGGAAAAAAAATTAGGAAAAGAAAAAACTAGTTTTGATCAAGCGTAACTAGTTTGACACAATTGTTTTATACGCTCAAACCATAGTACGACCTGCTATATATTTTATCTTTTCTATATAAAACATATAACCTCGAAGTAGTTGCATTGATTACGTATAAATTTTGATATATTGGAAAGGTATTAACCACAATAATAAAATATTCAGCGGTATATCTAATGGTACTACTATGCCCGTTAAATTTCTCTCTATGTAAAAAAAGAAGCTTATATTTCGAGTCATTATGATAAATTTTTAATTTTTATTTATTTATTTTTTTGGTTAATTCCATCTGATAGGGTTTCAAAAATCTAAAAAAGTTTGTTAGAACTATTGGAAGGAGGATGTGTTTGCCTACTTTATTAACTCAGAATTGTACTAGTCAAACAGTTTGGGTGGACAAATGACGAGTTGGAAGTCGTACATTTTAATGCATGAGTCTGAGGATAAGGATTGTTCCACATCCGATGGCACAACTCCTGAATCAAGATCTAATGCATTTGAGAGAATTCGGTTGTTTCATCGAGAATCTATGGAATGCAAGTCATGTGAGATTATGTTTAGTTTTATTACGGATGAAATTGGCAGAACATAGCATAAGTAAAGTCTAAGAAAGAAGATTGTTTGCAGCTTGTAGTCTTAAAAAGATAATAATTCATTATTTCTGATGTACAGTAGGAGCATTGGAAATTGTATGGTATATTTCTGAAATGCTCAAGTCCTCTAGAGGATGGAGATAATTCCCGAACCAAAGTTTTGTGCGACTGAGAAGACCCAACTATTTCATCGAGAATCTACAAATAGAAAACATTCCAACATATGAGAATTTTATATTATTTTTTCTTTGGATGAATAAGACAAATGTGTGTGTTCTCAAGTATTACATAGCCGTGATTACTCGTTGAGTATTGTTTTATGTTGCATGTGGATGCATCTTTTTTACCTTGATGAATTACGTCATTCAACACACTTCAACCAGCATCCGAGCTAGAAGAAGGAGGTTTCGGTGGGCCAATATACCCAATTTTTCTTGAAGTTGAAGGTCAATATATGTGTTCGAACTTTGATGCCCGATTGTGTATGTTACCGGTGCTGAGGACTGTCAATGGAATTGTTTCTTGATGATGAAAGTAAAATCTATAACAAAAAATTGATGATTTTATTAAAACTTGAATTTGTTGCCTGTAAATGTTGTCTAGTGAAATAATTTATATATCAATTCGTGAATAATATTGATATGCAATGTTGTATAACATGAGTTAGAAAAATTTACTATAGTTTAATGAACCTCATTAACACACGAATACCAAGCTATTGTGATTTAAAATTTATCATGGTCCATTGTCTAATATATGTAATTAGTGTCATTTAAATAATCCTAATTGGTTATAATTAATGAATCTACAAAATTTGTATAAAAAAATCACGTAAAAAATATCAATTACATATCTCATAGTATGTATTAACCATACATATCTCTTGTACACCACATCCGTATAATTAATAAAAATAAATAAATAAAAACAAAAAACAATAAAAGATCAACTAAATTAAAAAATTACGAAAACCAAGAAAATCCATTGCAATCCAACTCCAACCCCAAACAGCCTGGTTAAAGCCACCAAAGAAAGAGAATCGGACGCCTCATTACTCCCGCTCTCCCCATCACCATCATCGCTCACATCCCTAGGATGGTCGAAATTCGACGGGACCAACGTGTCCGGAGCTGACTCCTCGTCGTCTCCCGACTGCGGGCTTATAGGGCCCGGCGAGCCTCCGGTCGGACCTCCGAGCCCAGGCGGGAGCCCCTGGCCGCGCGCCACTCGGATCTCGAGCCGCTGCCCGTTGCGGCACTGCTCCCCGTCGTAGTCGCTGGAGAAGAAGTATGTGGGGCCCACGCGGACGAGCGGTACGGGGACAGTCACTGGGTAGGGTGTGGTGGAGGAAGGGTCGGCCGATGACCACTCGATGGTGTTGTTGTCGAGGCCGTCTGAAGAGTCGCACGAGTTGTACGTTGTGAGGTTGTACGTTTGGATCACCGAGTGGTTGTTGTCCGTGTTGAAAACTGCGTGTAATTCAATTGTTATATGCTATGTTACACATTGTTTTGTTTCAGAATTTGTTTGCTTTTGTTTGTCCAATTAAAATTTATTTCATTTAAACGAAAAATGAAACAAAGAATTTCCATAAAAAAAATTGGTATTCATTTTCTTTTTGTTTTCCTCTATAAATCTGACTACTACAAATTAAAAAATAATAAATAATAATTAAATAATATTAATTAATCATCTTTACACGTTATATCAACTTTCATTTACTATTTATCCACTCACATAATTTTAATTATCTATCAGTGTCAATTTTTTTTTATTATTTTCACAATATCAAATCAAACTTTAGCCATTACATTTTAAATATTATTTTAAAAAAACTCAAAATCACTTTCAAACTTAATTTAATCTATTTTTTAAAATTAACTATAATTAATAAAAAAATTAATCAAAACTCAATCAAATATAAATCTTATCACCCTCTAAATTGGAAGGAAATATTTTTTTTTTATTTGTACTTTCCCTGGAATCAATGATTGCCCGATTTGCAAATATACCCATGAAAGTCCACATGCATACGCTTTGGTAAAGTCACTCAACATGTACATAATGTGACAGAACATGGCTATCGAACTAATTGTATCCATGCAGCTACAGCTGTCAGAAATTGTCAATTAATCCATCAAATTCTATTCTGACATTTGCGGTAATGAGTTACACACGACATATGCTAAATGGACACTATCTTATCTTTTCATATGCTAATTATTCTTCAGATAATCCACCATATGTTCTGCCTAAAAGTGACTGCCGCAAATGATTAGTCAAGGGGCAATTGGTAGACGATCAAAACTGATTTTAATCGATCATAATTTGACTCGTTCATTTTAATTAGTAATTTAATTTAAATTTAACTCAATCACATATCTTGAATATCATCAATATAATCAAATAATATCAATTATTTATCTTCTACATGACATCAATTTTAATTTACTATTTATCCACTCATATATTATTAACTGCATATCACTTTCCTCATTTTTTTTAATACTTTTACATCACACCAACTTTAATCATTACATATTATATAATTACAATTTCTATCAACCTGTCTAATTTTGATCAATTTTTACTGGTTTTGACTCTTTACCAATCACCCTGTCTTTTCACAACGTATAGCATTTTCAGTAAAAACCACAAGACATAATATATTATTGTAAAGTATAATGGACCTAGCTAGATTAATTATTTTATATTTTTTCTTCTCTTCTATTAGACTATTACCCTGTCTAATTATTAGATACACATTAATTTTTCAATAAATATATATACTTTCATGTTCAATTGCTATAGTTAAAAATATAAAATAAACAAAAGTTTAATATTTTATACAGTATAAACATATTTTTCATAATAAAGTTTTGCTTCCGAACGATAAGCACTGTAAGTAGTCTTATAGGCAGTTATTTCTCGATATAGTTGGTTATAATCCTCTGCAATGTGCTCTAATCTTTACATTGCTCACTCCTAGGAAAAGTATTTGTTTAATCAAAATTAATTTTCTATTCCATCTTATCAAACCGACATTAACTGGTCCGTGAATCAACAAACGGAGGTAGAGAAAAACAGAGCTAGTGGGCAAAACAGAAACCAAAATTAGAAAATTGTTAAAACAGTAAAATAGAATCATATACACAGAACATGATAACTTTGAACTCTAATTCTTGATTTCCAATTTCAATTCAATTTAAACAAACCTATAAACCTGCTAACTAAATCTAAGAAATCATCTAATTCAGCCCAAAAGGATATCAAGAATCCCACAGATTACCAAATATGTAAACACCTTTCCTTTGGACGACAAGTTAGATAAGTAATTCCGATTAGAGCTGTTAAGCCAACCGAGCCACTCGTGGGCCTAACTCGAGCTTCTTGATAAACGAGCTGAGCTCGAACACGAGCTCGACTCAGCTTGATGTAAAAGCTTGAATGCGAACTCAATTAAGCTCGACTCATTTACAACTCTAATTTTGAGATTCTAAGAGCTTTTGCAATAAAAATATAAAAGATATTTAATTTTTTTTTAAAAAAAAAGAAAAAAAGAAGAAGGGCACTCACTGAGGAAATCGCCAAGGCTGAAATTCTTGCCGGCGGCCCATTTCTGGTAATTCACAGTGGGCTTCTCGAGGGAATCGTACCATCCCAAGGAGTCTCCCACCGTGTAGTTCTTGTACCCATCAACAGTCGCCGGAAAACAAGAAAACAACAAAACAAATAGACTTGTGATCAAGAAAACAAAGCGTAGAGCCTTGTCTGCCATTTTTTTTTTTTTTTTTTCCTTCCAGTTGTGGTGGGTGTTAGAGAGTTGCTAATCAGTTGTTGAGAATATTAAAAGACTGTATTATTATGTTAGCCTTTGGTGCTGAATAAAGTGAGTGGGAATTGGTTGTTCCTTGTGAGTTGTGACCTTTATTCGTTTTATTTTATATACTTTGGTTTCTTTTATGTTCTTTTTTCTTTTACCTTTTAATTTAATTTTAGTTTTTCTTTTAAAATAAGGTAACTATATGTTGGAGTTACGAGTGGCTATTGCTATATATGTGGAAGGGCGATCCAGTTTGTCTAGTATTATTGTAAGATTCGTTAATTTTATTGAGTTTGAGATTAAAATTGAATAAAATCTGTCGTACATTTTGTCCATTATTGGACTCCTTAATTCAGGTTGTACATTTTGTTTTGAGTTATAAAATTTGTCGTTTCGAAAAAAAAAAAGATTAAAATTGAAACAAACAAACAAAAGATAATGACGATTTTTTAGATTAAATTCAATTCAATAAGAGTAAGGTGTAATTAATTGGTGGATCTCATTTGTTGTTGTGGTATTATCCCAAGATCATAATCATAATTGAGAGAAAAATAAGTTTCCATTACTCACAAGAATAAAAACAAGAGATTTACATATACTAAAAAATTCTCTAACTCTCCACAACTCTACTCAACACTCTCAGTCTCTCAATGTTGATTGATCACACTTTGGGATGATTTGAATGAATGAAATGAGCAGCCTATTTATAGATACAATCAAGCACACCATTGCTGACAAATGGTGTGTGAAAGAAGAAGGTTTTGTGGAGGCTAGCCTTTGATGACTTCTTCAATGGTGGGCTTCAACTTGCTGCATGGAGCTTTCAATTCTCCCCGTTCCATGCAAGTTCTGAACAAGCATTCCTACTATGTCTCTGCATAGCTTAAGTTTATCCAGTGTAACTACTTTTGTTGACCTATCTGATGGATTCTCATTTGTATTGATTTTCACTAGTTTCAACAGTTGATCAATCTTCTCGCGTATCCAGTGATACCGAACATCAATATGTTTTGTGCGGGAATGGTACATAGAGTTCTTACTTAAGTCAATAGCACTTTGACTATCACAATATACCTTATACTCTTTCTGCTTGATCTCAAGTTCATGGAGATAACGTTTTAGCCACAACATTTCTTTACCAGCTTCAGCAGAAGCAATATATTCAGCTTATGTTGTGGATAAAGTAACACACTTCTGCAATCTTGATTGCCAAGAAATGGCTCCCCCTGCAAAAGTGTAGACATAACCAGAAGTAGACTCTCGACAATCAATATCTCCGGCCATATCAGCATCAGTATATCCTTCCAAGATTGGATCAGCTCCCCCATAATAAAGACATAACTTAGAAGTACCCTTCAAGTATCTGAGAATCCATTTGACTGTCTCCCAATGCTCCTTCCCAGGGTTAGAAAGAAAACGACTCATTTCACCCACTGCATGAGCAATATTTGGCCTTGTACATACCATTGCATACATTAGACTTCCAACTGCGGAAGAGTATGGCACTGCAGACATCTCCCCTATCTCTTCCTTAGATGTGGGACATGATGTTTTGCTCAACTTGAAATGATTCGCAAGTGGAATACCCACTGGTTTGGCATAACTCATATTGAATCTTTCAAGTACTCATTCAATGTACTTCTCTTGAGATAGCCATAACTTGTCGTTCTCTCGATCTCGAGTAATCTGCATCCCAAGAATCTATTGAGCCTTTCCTAAATCTTTCATATCAAAAGACTTGGAAAGTTCTTTCTTCAGCTGACTTATCTTCTCTGCATCATTCCCAACGATCAACTTGTCGTTGACGTACAGTAGAAGAACTATTAAAGCCCCGTTTGAGTATCTCTTGATGTAAACACACTCATCTGCAGTAGTTTTCTTGTAACCTTAACTCTGCATGCATGAGTCAAACTTCTTATTCCACTGCCTTGGTGCCTGCTTCAAACCATACAAGCTTTTAGATAGCTTGCACACGAGGTTCTCACTTGAAACCTCAAAACCTTTCGGCTGCTGCATATATATTTCTTCTTTCAAAATCTCCGTGAAGAAAAGTTGTCTTCACATCCATCTGTTCAAGCTCCAAATTCATACTTGCTGCCAAGCCACGTATGACTCGAAATGAGGTCATCTTGACAACTGGTGCAAAGATCTCGTCAAATCAATCCCTTTCTTCTGCTGAAAGTCTTTGACAACCAATCGAGCTTTGTGTTTCACCACTTGTCCATTTGCATCTTTTTCTTCAGCTTGAACACCCATTTGTTTTTCAAAGCCTTTTTCCCTTCTGGAAGTTTAACAATCTCATAAGTTTGATTTTTCTGCAGAGAATCTAACTATTCTTGCATCGCAATCATCCATTTTTTCTTTATCCTTATGAAATATGGCTTCTTGAAAACTCTCTGGTTCTCCATTTTCTGTCAATGGAAGGTATTTAGATGATGAGTACCTTTTTTTATGGTATATGACCTTGTTCAGATCTACGAGTGGGTAGAACAATCTGAGAAGAACTTCCAACATTGGTGTCTGGCAAAATGGGTTGTGGCTCCCCTTGCTCTGGCAAGATGGGTTGTTGCTCCCCTTGCTCTGGCAAGATGGGTTGTTTCTCCCCTTGCTCTGCATTCTCTTATGTCTCCGCTTCTTCTGGTATATCATCTTCATTGTTTCTCCAGAACAATTACGGTGCTTCATCTGAAACTTGAGCACCCACATTTGACTTTTGAGACATCTTGGGCTTTTCCATGTCTTCTATTGTCAAATTTTCTTGGAATACAACATCCCTACTTCTGATCACTTTTTTTTCCTTTGGATCCCAAAATCTGTATCCAAACTCTTCATCTCCATAACCTATGAAAATGCATGGGACATCGAGCTTCTTTCTGAGCTCTTTGGATACATGTGCATATGCTACACAACTAAATACTCTGAGATGTGAGTATGTCGGATCCTTACCAGTCCATATTCTCTCTGGAACTTCAAAATTTAATGGAACTGAAGGTGATCGGTTGATTAGATAACATGCGGTCTTGATAGCTTCTCCCCAAAATGGCTTTGGTAATTTAGTCATATTCATCATGCTTCGGACACGCTCCATGATAGTCCGATTCATTCTTTCAGCAACGCCGTTGTGCTGAGGGGTACGTGGTACTGACTTCTCATGCCGAATGCCATATGTCCTGCAATATGATTGAACTCCTTGGAAGTATACTCGCCTCTATTATTAGATAGACATTTCAGCTTCTTTCATGTTTCCCGTTCCACCATGACGTGAAATGACTTGAAGTACTCAAACACCTGGTCCTTCGTATTCAGAAAATATACCCACACCTTTCGAGAAGCATCATCAATGAAAGTAAGAAAATATCTGCTTCCACCCAGTGATTCAACCTCTATGAGATCGCAAACATCAGAGTGTACCAACCTTAACAACTCTTATCTCTTTTTTGAATTGGCATTGAATGAGACTCTATGCTGCTTGCCGAACATGCAATGATTGCAAGAACCCAATGCAGCACTCTTATCAACCTTGATAAGATCCTTCTTCATTAGGGTAGTCAACCCTTTCTCACTCATATGGCCAAGTCTCTGGTGCCATAGATCCTGGGAAGCCTCCTCTGCAACATTGAGACTTTCTGTACTAATCTTCAAATGTGTTTTGTAGAGTGTCCCACAAACATGTCCTCGAACAATTTTTTTAACACCCTTTGACAACTTCCATGTGCCTGCACCAAAGTGATTTTCATATCCTTCTTTGTCAAGAGCCACCACTGACAAAAGATTCAGCCTAAGATCCAGCACATGTCTAACATCCTTCAATAGGATTGTTTTCCCGGTTCCTGTCGTTGCCTTGATATCACCAATTCCGGCAATTTCAGAGGAAATGGAATTTCCCATCTTCACCGATCCAAAGACTCCATCTTGGTATGTTGTGTAGTATTTCCTGTTGGGAGTAACATGATAGGATGCTACAACACCAATTTCATTTCTTATCTTGAGACATGAAGGCATGTCTCACCATGAGCAGAGCAATATGCGACATCACCTGAGACAGTGATGAGAGTTTCACCACTCTTGCCCTTGTTCTTCTGATGAGAACTATTCTTCAGCTGAGAATTGCTCTTGCCATGTTCCTCGAGCCATTTATAGCAATTCTTTTTCATATGACCTCCTAGACCACAATGATAGCACACACGTGATTTTCGATCATCTGATTGCCTCCCTTTGCTTCTACCCCTGCTCTTTCCTCTACCGCTTCTTTGTTGCTTGCTTTGTGGTCTTGCTTGATTCTCCATTACAAGGGCATGAGTCTGATCTGTGCCCACGTCTTTCCTTCTTGCCTCTTCATTGAATAAGGCATCCTTGACAACGGACATGAAAAGTTTGCCGTTTGAGGCTGAATTGCTGAGAGTAACAACCAGTGTTTCCCAACTATCAGGAAGGGAACTAAGAAGCCGGCATCTCCACACAAGATAGCTGATTTACCAGGCTCTGGAACTCACTGGTATGCTCAGCAACAGAAGTTTCACTTTTCAAATTCATATTGACTAAGCACCTCATCAATAAGGCCTTATTCCGAGCGGTCTTGGCCTGATACATGTCCTCTAGCTTCTTCCATAGGTCATATGCGTCAGTTTTTTGTGCAACATGATGGAAGACACTATGATCTATCCATTGTTGAATTTGACCAATAGTTTTTCTATTGATTTTCTTCCATTCTAACGCCTTGGACGGATCAGAGTTAATACCCTTCAACTATATTGGGTCAAAGAGCTCTTTACAGCTGAGGAAATCTTCCATCCGAGGTTTCCACAGCGTATAATTGGTAGCCGTGAGCATAATCATAGCTCCAGAAGATGAAGTTGACTCTTTCATGGCCATTTTACACCTTCAATGATTTGTTTTGGACAAATCGGAGTTGTATTTTGGAAAATAGACAGTACCGTTGCGTCCGGAACAGTAAAAAATGTGGGGGTGGCAATTTTTATTTTTTTATGGGATGACGTGACAGTTGACTATGATGACGTGACAGTTGACTGGGTTGACGTGGCAGCTGACTGGATTGTTGATGTGGCAAGTGACTGGACCCTCTTCGCTGACGTGTCAGATGATGTGGCGACACGCCATCATCTTCTTTCTCAGATTTTTTTTTTTTTTTTTTTTTTTTTTTTTTT